CACCCTCTCCTCTCTTTTTCTCCCCTATTCTCTACTTGTGAAGACTTGGTGAAAATGCTCTCTTACCAGGATGTGATTGTGCCAGCACCTTCGTGTTATGGAGTCAGGTTCTAGAACTGTAAGAACATTCATTTCTATTGTTTAAGTTTCACAGTCATGATATATACAACACAACACACAAAAGACTCATATTTTGACATAAAAGGTGGGTGTGAACATAAAGTAGGGTGAAGCAACTATCACTTACAATATCAAGAACAATTTCCTAATGAGAGTATAAGAACTGTTTTGAGTGCTAGAGCCAACAATAGAAATGAAAATATCTGTAAAATACTTCACGTAATATTGTGCATATTAATTTTTAATTACATCTATTGAAATCTCTAGAAAATATAACAAAAGGCAAAAGTGAAAAATAACCTATTATACTTTGTTAATGTTATATTTTATTCCAATATATCCTTTTCTGGAAGCCTAATTAAATTGTCTATATTAATTAAATTCTTAAAGTATGCCCTCCATGGGGTTATGTGAGAATCTCTTTCTTAATCTTTTCTAAAGTGCTTGTCAGGCTGTTAACTGACAAAATTTGCTGAAATAGAGATCTGTAATAAATTATATACACATATGCACCAATAGCTTAAATGTATTTTAATAAAATTATACATTTATATATAATATATTTAATGTTATAAATTATATAATTTATATATTCAGATATATACATATGTATTATATGTATATATTTATTACAATAATTCTCCATTGGGTCAAAGCCTTTCTGGTAGGTATGGACTTCAGATTATGCTCTTCTTTGTCCTTTTCCCTCCAATCACATAAATCTACCATTTCCAATATTGCTCTATTTAATATGGCAATAAAATGTAGATGTTTGGGAAACAACATTGAGGGCAGAGTTCTCTCATATTTCACTCCTTTCATATTTAAAATACATTTTACAGCACATGGGAATGAGCCCTATGTAATCTTTATAAGGTTTGCTTTAACATTCATAGAAATGAGTCCTTACTGTTCAGAATTACTATATGCATATACTTCAGTTAAGTTGTTGAGTATAGTAACAAGTTGAACTGCCCAAATTATGGAAAAGAAAATAGTTACTGATAAGCATGGAACTTGATGCTGTATGCTAACATACACACTCATATTAATATGAGTGTCCGACTGACTGTCAGCTTTTCTCATAGCATGACATGTGTCATTGTCTTAAAGAGGGAAAGGAAAACACTGTCTGCATTCTGGAATTAGGTCAAGAGAAATTGTACTGGCCTTCCCTATCTAAAAATACTCAGCCATCTACAGAGCAAACATCAAAGGAAACACACTCCCCTGCCCAATTCCTACTCCCTCTGCAAGTATAATAATTCTGTTAAAGTTTGGTTTGTAGGATTCTAGACTCATTTGACTGTATTTTCCCATAGGCTATCCACACTTTCTTTACATACTTACATGCTTGTATGGTATGCCAGGCACTAGACTAAGATCTAATTGTAAGTTATCTTACTTAGTCCTCATAATTGCCCTCTGAGATAATAGTTTTATCATCTCCATTTCATAGGCTATTAAAGCAAGGCTCAAAAAGGTTCACTCATTTCCTAAAGCTCACACACTGTTTCTTTTCCTTGTGAGCGGGTTCATCTTACTAACATGCACCAATCCAGTTAAATGTTTGGGTCAACTAACTGAATACTGAACGCCCATCTTTCCAGGCACAGTGCTTAAAGCTAGATATTCAAACCCATGGATTTTGTCTTCAGATAGTTGGAATGGGTAGATAAATCTACGGGCTACATGACTTGCCCCAATTCATTAGTCAGAAAGCAAGTAGAGAACAACTACATCTCAGATGCTTCTTAAGGAACTGGTTATGTCAGCTCGAGGTACACAGGATATTGAGTAACTTGGATTTTAGAAGCATTAAGAATATTATTGCCTGTATGAAATGATGAGTTTGGAGTCCCCAGGAATCAGTGCCAGTGGTTATGACCCAGTAATTTGGACATTTTATAACTAAGTCCTGAGACATTTGCTTAAATAATACAAGGGCTAGGGATGGAGCCCAGTGGTAGAGCTAACATATGCACCACACTAGCTTTGGCCTCTGGTACATCAAAATTCAAAGTTCTGTTTAGAAGGCCAGCAGTGCTATATTGTTACCCAAGGGAGATGAGACCAAGACAAAAATCAGGACTGGAGCATCAGTTTCTTGAGGAAGGAGACTGGGTGATAGCAGAGACCCGAGGTCTACCAAGGAGCTTGGTTAGAATGCTATAATGTGCCAGCGGAAACAAAAGCAGGCAGACCCTTGGAAGTCCTAAAGGAGAAAATAGGAAAGTCATACATGAGCAGATATTGTGAGAAAGAAATCAGAACGCAAGTTTTGAAGAATTGGATCGTAATGGTAGAAAAAAAAAGTAAAAGCTGCATGTTGAGACAGAACCAAAAGCCTACCTATTATGTAACACATTCCACAAGGCTGGCCAATTTCAACGTACACTAGGAAGGGAAATGCCTGTCCTGAGAAGGGGGTGGAGTGCTGGAGCCACAGGAGTGCACAGACTCCAATTGCAAAAATGTCAAAGGCTTCAAAAACCATTTGGCAACGTTCTCAGGGATGGAAGCATCAGTGGATTATAGTAATAAACATGGTAGGGGATCTTAAGGACGGGAGTGAAAAGAAAGCCTTATTTGAAAACCTTCCATGAATGCCTTTATATATTTTTATGACCACAGAAGCATTTAAGTATGTAAACGCATGTATACAAAAATGTGTCACAGAGTGTGGTAGTGTTGGTATGTTGATAAGGAGTAAGTACCCTAATGGAAAATCAGAATAAACAGAGAGAGAGAGAGGAGGAAAAGGAAGAGGGAAGGGAGGGAGAGAAGAAAATGGAGAAAGGAAGGAGGGAAAGAGAGGGGAAGGGAGGAGGGAGGGAGGGAGAGAGAAAAAGAGAGAGACTATCTCAAGTTTTAAAAATTGTTTGCAAAGAAACTGGAGTCTATGGCAGAATTTAGTCCTCATGACAGAAATGTTTCATTAGTGTTGGAAAAAGTACTGCTGTCATTTCTCTCCCTTTAGAAATTCTTTTTTTTTTTTCTCTTCATAATAAAGATCCCGTGGCAGCTCCTTGTCTGGAGGACTTTAAAAATAGGAGCGATTTCATCTGTCTGGAATGGTCTGTCAGCACTTGCCCTAGGCAAGGTTGCCACATAGGCACAAAACACCCCCAACTCCCATCCCCCCTAGCCAGCACTCTCCCCTCCCATCAGACCTCCCCTGGCCTTTGCACCCCCACATCCACCTCCAAGCCTGCCTCCCTTTTCTTGGACCATAGCTTTAACACAATCTCCCACATCAAATCCAACTCGACTTCCCTCAGCCCAGCAGACTTTTCTCCAGGTGTGAGGGGGTGCAATCTGTTTTGCCCTTTGTGGCCTATTTGAGTTTAAAAATAGGACCCTGGTTAACCCAAATGAATCTTAAATTGGAGATCTGTACAATGTAACCAAGTGGAGGGAAGGGCAGGGGGAGAGGGGCATATTTTTGGTCAGTGAGGGAAGTGGTGGGGAGGTGGGCTGCCTTCCTGGAAACTATTAAATCGCAGATGTAGGCTCTGCTCAGTGTGTCACTGCCTCATGGTGACCTCTGCCCTCTCATGGTTGCTGTTAATTCTATGGCTCAGTGACTTCCCGCTCCACTTCCGTGCACCCACACCTGGCTTCTCTCTCAGCATTCTTGGAGCCCTGTGACTCTGGTTTAACTAGAGGTTTTCAGCAGCCTGTCTTTGTGCCTATCAGCCAGGGCCCAATTTTCCCATCAGCATTTTCCCCACAACAGTGACACTTGGGTTCAGGGATGGTGGCCATTAAAGCCACACTGAGCTCAAAGAGATTTGCACAGAGCCTTCTTCAAAGTGCTTGTTCCCAGGGAAGCCCAACATAGGCACCACTTTGTGCTCACAGCGTGTGTGGGCTTTATGAAGAAAAATATGTGTGGCTTATGTGACCAGAATATGCTGTATGAGGGCAAAGCTACAAAATGAAATTTACTCAAAGTACTCCTGTGATGAATTTGGTCAACTTCCTGTTATAACAACAAACACTCAAGAGCCACTACTGTACATCAAGCTCTAGTTAGACTTGGGGAGTAATAAGGAAAAGAGGCTGGTCCTTGCTAGGAAAGAGGTTTTCATAAGGGAGAAGGAAGACAAGCAGGGTTAGATGTGTCCTGGTTGAGGTAAGCCAGGACGATGGAGAACTCCGGCTCTGCCCTTGGTTTAACTTGTTCCATATGGATGGCATCAGGAAAGCTCTCCTAGGGCAGTGGCATCTGAGCCTGAGTGAGAGTAAGCCAAGCCAAAGAAAGATGGGAAAGGAACAGACTATGGAGACGGAACGCCATGAGCAGAGGTCTGGAGGCATGGAGCCTCCAGAGGCATGAAGCTACTTGACATGTCGGGGAAATTGCAAGCAGGCTGAGATTAGTGGAGGGCTATGTGTCAGGGAGAGGGGTCAAGAAATGCAGCTGGAGAGGCAAGCTGGCAGGGTGAGGAGGGGGCCACCAGCCTCCCTTGCTGAGCAATGAAGCTTTACTCAAAGGACAGCCCCTGAAGGATTTGAAGCGGGGGCTGTGGTAGGGTCAGATTTACATCTTGATTAAACCATCTTGTCAGTTTGCAAGCTGCCTGGGATAAATGAATTAAGGACTTTTATGAGACAGATAAATGTGCAGATCTAGCCATAGTTACATGCAAGGCTATCCCTTCCAAGAGGGCTTGCCATTCATCTAAGGAGATTTTAGGGATGTGGCTAAAACCAACTGGAGGTAGATTTTGTCTGTGTCTGTAAAGATCTCAATATCTTTAGGGATGTGCAGATCTTCTAAATGATGGGGGCTTGAAGAAAGGCATTGCTTCTGTGCTTTATCACACTTCACATGTTAGGAATTCTAACGAACATAACCTCTTTGTTTTGTTTAGCAAAAATCATCTGGAAAGGCACTCTTTAATCTAAGCTGCAGCCATCTCAATCTCGCTGAAAAGGAATATTTTGGATTAGAATTCTGCAGCCATTCTGGAAATAATGTAAGTGGGTTTTACTACAGGGTTTTGAGTGTCTGGAAATGCTTCCAAATGCAGTTGGCCCAAGCCCAGATTAAAAACGCAAAACTTGTTTATCCCTTACAACATTCTTGTGTTTAAAACTGTCCTCCCTTCTCCTGCCTTGTATATTGAGTTACCTTGGTTTGCCAAACAAATTCTTCTGCCTCATGATCGTTTTCTGTTATTCTTTGACCAACTATCTAAGTTTTATCTACTTCGACATGTTGGACTTCAACCCCTAGAGTTAAGACTCTTGACCTCATTAGTATTTAGGGAGATTTCTTGCCCTGTTTCTAGGGGCCCCGACTTTCACAAGATTCTTCTGCTGCATCCTCCCTTGGCATATATGTAAGCTGGCACCTTCTCAGAAAGGCTCATTATTAAGTGGGCACTGGCAGGAGTCGGGGTAAGGGTAGTGGGAATGTAAGACATAAATGTAAAATCAAATGTCTTTATAGGAGTCTTTGTAGCCACTCATGAGCTTTGCCTGTGACACTTCTAGCATCCTACCAAGGCAAGAAAGCAGTGATTGAGATGTGAACAACAGAGTTTATAGATCACAGCATACACTGTTACAGGGATACTATGAGGGGGCTGACTGGGAATGGTGAAGGCACATAATCTCTTCGACATGGCTGTTTATTTCCAACTATCTTTAGAAATCTAAATAGTTCTGGTGTTTGTTCATTTGACGTTGACCTTTATCTGGTACCAAATAAGAAAGAAAGAAAGCTGTGCTCACTGCTGCTGTGTTTCACTGATGCTATTACAGGTTTGGTTGGAACTTCTGAAGCCCATAACGAAGCAAGTCAAAAGTAAGTATGGAAGATCACTCAAGGGGTGTAGTCCTCAGTTCATACTTGAGAAATACTTCTACAGTCCCATGCAATTCTTTGCCTTACAAAAAGAGGGAAGAGTAGGGGTTGGATAGATTACATCAGCCCTTCATCTGTCCAGTAAGTTTAGCAATAGAGAAAATTATCTTAATTTTGTCTGAGATGAAGAAAGCAGCTCACAGTGCAGGATCTTGGAGTACCTCTGAAGAGTTCTGGTAATTATGTCACCAGCAGATTGCATGTATCTCCCTCTCTGATGCTGTGAATCTTCAAGCACCCTTAATGTCAATTTACAATAATGTTCACCTTCTGCTTGAAGAGTCTTTTCTTTCACGCCATCACAAGCCTTATCATTTGCTTCAGTTTATGCTCAAGTGACTCCCGTATCTCACACTCTGGAACATGGCTTCTCACATTTCCATGGAGATTCAGCTTCATCTGGATTTTCTGTTAAAATGTAGACAAATCCCTGGACCTCATTCCTGGGACAAAGGTCCAGAGACATGCACATTTAACTAATTCTACAGGTATTATTTTGCAAGTAGGTCTTAATTAACACTTTGGGAGACCTTCTTTCAGTGTCTCTTCTTAGTTCCTTGCTCTAACCTGCCCTACAAAACTTGACGCATCTTGTGACTCTACGTCTTCCAACTCTGTGATTATATCACTTAATTCCGTTAGCTTCTGAACTGATTTTCTCCAATTATGCATCTATATTACTCTCCAAGGGACTGTGATATATACAACCCAGACCACATCTCTTTCCTGCTTCAAATACTTCCATGGATCTCTAATTACCTTTAAAATTCAACCTTATTAGCATGGTATGCAAAGCTCTGGATTCTATCCTAAGTGCTTTGTCCCTGGCACTATCCATTTCAATTCCTGCCCCTGGTAACTTACTTAGCTATCAACTCCTCAAGGAAAGGCTTCCTCAGCCTAGGCTTGGTGGTACTCAAATTGGTCTGTTTAATTATTTGTCTCTCCGATGAAACTGGGAGCACGTTGAGTATCTTTTAGCTCACAGTATTGGCTTAGGACAATATCTGGCACATGAAAGGCAACCAGAAAAGATATATTGAATAAATAACACTGTTGCTACTTGTGTGTGGTCACTTTTGATCTAACAAACTTTATTCTTTTTTGCTGGTTGTTGGGGATGCAACTCAGGACCTTGTGCATGCTAGCAAAATATTCTACCATTGAGCTCCACTCCCAGCTTCAAGTTTCTCATTATCAAATTCAAGTAGGTGTGAAAATAAGTAGATGTGTTTTTCTCAGGGATCTATTTTAAGATTGATAGAGACATTGATCAATATTGTTTCTCATTCCTTTTAGTTTAACTTTAGTTTTTTAAGAACTTTTTTTAAATTCATTTTTTATTTATGTGAGTATATTGCAGCTGTCTTCAGACACACACCAGCAGAGGGCATCAGATCCCATTACAGATGGTTGTGAGCCACCATGTGGTTGCTGGGAATTGAACTCAGAACCTCTGGCAGAGTAGTCTGTGCTCTTAACTATTGAGCCATCTCTCCAGCCCTAAGAGCTGATTTTTAATGATGGTTATTAAATGCTTTAACCTCCCTTTTAGCCTACCATGCTCCAGAGGTAGTGGAAAAGAAAGGATATGGAGGAAGTGGTTTAGAAAGCATTCTTTGGAGCAAATCCTATCTGTATTGTCAGGAAATCAGCAGTTCAGTCTACAGATAATACACCAACAGTCTAGCTTGGTAGAGTCCAGATAGGGATAGCAAACAAGAATCAGCAGTGACAGCACTACCTAGAGGCAGGCCTCAGTCTCAGCAGGAGGGATCCGGGAGGACTGCAAGAGAAGGTGTCAGCTGTGGCTCTCTCAGTGAAGCAAAGATTAGTGAAGATGCAAGACCAACAAGCATTGTACAGCTAGCTTTATAAGCAAGCCTAGCTCAGCCTCAGTCAGGCCATTGAATCCTTTTTATACTCCCTCCAAACATCACATGTCCTCCACGGGTCTTGCCTCAGCAAGTGGGTTTCTCAGCTGACATCACTCTGCCAATCAGCCCAAGAAGTTTTTTTTTTAGCGTGTTTTGCTCTCTGGAGTTCTGAGAAATGGAGCTCAACTACACAATGTAAGGCGGACACAATATAAGGCTAACAACACATGTGTGTTGTTAGTGAAAAATCCTTCATCATGTATCCTTTCATGTACTTGGTTAGCAGAACTCGATTTCTCCTGTGTCTGCTTCAGCCAAACATTCCCTCACGAATCTGCCTTAACATTTCACTTGTGTCCACTTCAGGAAAACACTCCTTCACGTTCTTTGTCCCAGCCAAACACCTTCCAATACAACTGACTCTCCAAAGAACCCTTAAGTTTCCACTTCATTTTATGAAATCTGTAAGGCATCCATTCATGTGCTTGCGCTGAAGCTAGACTCTTTTCTCAGGCAGGATTGAACGGTCACAGACAGCGAATTGTAAATAATCTTTCTGAACGTCTCACTTCTTCTCACTTCTTAAGAAGGGACAGGATGGGCCTCACATGGACACATCTTTACAAAAGAAACTCAGTGGGATACAGGATGTGAAAGAGAGATAAGTTGGAAGACTTTCTGAATTGCTCTTCACATAGTGTCACAATCCAGAAATAACAGTAAACATGTGAAAAACTGAAATGTAAAATAAGTCTATGGGAAGGAGTATTGGAGATAGGAGGGAAGTATCTGTGTGTGTGTGCGTGTGTGTGTGTGTATACACATGTTTGTGTGCATGCATGTTGTGTTTGTGTGTGCATGAGTGTGTGTATATGATTTATTTTAGCTGTTGTAATGATAATTTAAATAAAACTTATGGAGATATTGTGTTTTAAGATCCTAAGGAGGTTGTTTTCAAATTTATGGTGAAATTTTTCCCAGTGGACCCTGGACATCTTCGGGAAGAACTCACAAGGTAAAGTGTTTCACTAAGTGCTGAATGATGTTACTAGAGAATCCCCATTCTCCAGCAACTGATGAAAAGAAGGACTTTGAGTCCCCTTTGCATGGCTTAGGTTTAAATCACTCTCTGGTACAAGATGTGAGGGACTAGACAACTGTTCTCAACCATGAGTTATGACCCCTTTGGGGACAAATGATCCTTTCATGGGGGTCACCTAAGACCATTGGAAAAACACAGGCTTTTACATTGCAATTCATAACAGTAGCAAGATTACAGTTTTGAAGTAGGAATGGAAATAATTTTATGTTTGGGGGTTCACTATAATATGAGGAACTATAGTAAAGGGTCACAGCATTAGGAAGGTGGAGACCCACTGAGCTAGAAAGGAGAAGCTGGCTGTACCCTCCAAATATTAATGGGTTATTGATGCATATGAATTTACTGTAACTGTCTTCAGACACACCAGAAAAAGACATTGGATCCCATTACAGATGGTTGTGAGCCACCATGTGGTTGCTGGGAATTGAACTCAGGACCTCTGTAAAAGCAGTCAGTACTCTTAACCACTGAGCCATCTCTCTAGCCCCCTAAGAAATATTCTTATCTAGCTCTTTTAGATTACAGATGAGGAACATGTCCTGGAAACTAAAGCTGGCTGAGTTAAAAATCACAGTGATTGAGAGTTAATCTCCCTGGCATCTGGCCCTTCCTCATGGAGCACATTAACTTCTCCTTTGGTGTGAGGTCTTTGCACAAGTTGTCTTCCTTCTCTCCCCTAATTCTCTCAAAATCTGTTTGTTGTCATCCACTTGCTGAGATAGCTTGCTATGTAGACCATTGTGCATTCAGTAACCCAGCAGCAACAACTAAAAGGAATACTACTTACCTGTTGTGGAAATTACAATTAGGCCTTGTTTGGGACCAATGCAGGGAGTTCTGAGAATATTATAAAAATAACCATTTTAACTGAATTATTTCTAGTGCATTAGAGGCACATATGATTTGAAAGGACATAATACTTAAAGCTTTCATGAACTGGATAACTGCTTGACAAGTTTCTTCAGACTAAATTTTCATTTATCACTTGCAACTAGCTATCTTTTACTACATTCATTACCTTCAGGGCATAAGCTACTGAATAATTATTTACTCTAGAAAATAACTCATTTTCTAGAATTTAATCTAGAAAATTATATTTGATACAGGGAAACACTCCCAGTAGATAATGTATGGTTTTTTTGCACATATAAAAGAAAATACTGGAACTGGTTTTTGCTCTGGACAAGAAAGCAGATACTGTGGAGTCTTTCTTATACACTTATTCACCAAAATGTAGGCTCTGGGACTGAAGAGGTAGTTTGGTGGCAAAGTACTTGCCACACAATTGTGAAGCCCTAAATTCAAATCTCTGCAACCCACATAAAGCTAGGAACAGGGCACATCTATAATCTCAGTGCTTCTACAGTGAGCTGAGAGGCATTACTGGAAGCTTGCTAGTCATCTAAATTGATGTAGGTAGTGACAAATGACAAGAAAATCCTATTTCACATAAGGTGGAAAGCAGAGATGCAAGGTTGTGCTCTGACCTTTGTATACACACATATGGATGTGCACACACCCACCCACCCACACACACACACAAGAAGGCCTTTAAAGGCCTTAAGTGTGGCAAATGTTCAATTTGTCAGAGCCCCAAACACAAAGCTTCATTTTGATTTTGTTCCTTGATGAAGGTTCTGCATCACTGAGTGCACCAACCATTAGTTTCATAGCTATTGCTTGTAAAATACTAATTTGGTCTCGGATTGATAGTTACACGGAGATCCAGGCAAGGGAACAAGATGGGCACAAGCGTGGTTTAATGGCCTTATTCCTGAAATATGTTTTTTGGGTAGGTAAGCTAGACTCTGTGGCAGATGTGAGTCTGGCTGTATTTTCTGTATCTTCGAGTGATACTACCTGGTCAGAATGGCGTGGCCCCTGTCTTGGTATTGTTATAATATGCAGTGATTGTTCTTGCTCCACTAGCCTGTAAAATTCTTACAGCTCTGCCTACTCAATCGTTCTTTGTGTCCCCCGGAATCTGCTCATGCTTGCTGAGGCTCCCGTTTATCTAGCTCAGGATGTGGTTGTCTCCATGGCAAAAACCACCAGAAGAGGATTGGCCAGGTCTCTCAAGCTGGTGGCAGGCTACAGCCAGGGCAATTTCTAACAGTTGCAGAAACTGCCAATATGCTGGGTCAGCCGAGTTGTGGGCTGGGGTTGGATTGTCTTTGAAGCAAAGCCTATGTATGATTTGCCAACCCCTGAAAAGGCCTCTGACTGACTGAATGCTGTTCCTTCCTTGAATTATCTTGGGTCTGGGAGAAAGAAAAGTTTTCTTCTGGATTTCTGCTTCTTTTTTCAAGGTATTTTCCTCAAATCTTTTGCAGGTATCTTTTTACTCTTCAAATAAAGAAGGATTTGGCTCTGGGAAGGCTTCCATGCAGTGACAACTGTACAGCTTTAATGGTGTCGCACATCTTACAATGTAAGTACCAAACCTTGACTTCTCAGCCCATTAGCCAGGGATAGAGCCAAGTGAAGGGGGCAAGCACTTATTCAGCCTTAAGAGGAGAGAGGGCATCCATAGTTCAGCTACAGTGAAGTGATTCTTAATTGAATCCATTGAGATCTGAATCACATCTTGTCTTACTATCCAACCATTACTCTAAGGCAAACTACCTTATTTCTCTTAGTCTGAATGGCCTTGTATTTAAAATAGTAACAAGAATACCTTCTCATGGAGGTGCTTCTGATGATACGAACTGTAGAATTTGCTAATTTTCTTCTACCTCAGTCTACCTACCCTGCAGTCACTGTCCTCTGACTTGCCATCTAGGAACTGGCTTGAATAACTTTTGCCATGAATTTGACCAAGCAGTCCCCATTCCCTCTGATTGTTCTAGGATATCCCTCAGTTCCATGTTTCTTGCAGCACAGTTCTGGAGAATAAATCATGGGATGGAGACAGTGGAAAGAGGAATAAGGATAAAAGGTGCCAGGCATACATTAGTGTACCTCAAGGACTGGCAGCCAAGTGGTTTGACTAGAAGGAACACTGAAGGTAGACTGAAGGAGGCCTGGGGAACAGTGGGGGCCTGTCGGGGAGGGAGTTACACAGAGCAGACCATGTTGTTCCTACAGCCTGGAGACTAGGGTCTAGGCTGCAGGAGATAACATCTCTTCTAAGACCAGCTGGACTTTCTCATTTTGGAGAGGCCTCCCAAGAATACCCTGTTCCTTGATAATCCTGCAAAATCATAACTTCAGTTTTTTTGTTTATTTCATAAGTTTATTTTTGACCTTTGTTCATTACCTTTCCACCAGCCCATAAATGGTAGATTTCAGATTTCATTGAGAACAACGCAATGAAATGCTTTGATAAGGACCACATCCTAGGCAGTGTATCAAGTGACTACCAGCTGGCACAGAGAGCTCTAGGTTCTCAGAAAGGCAACAGATGGAGAAGGCTGTGAGAATCAAGGAACGCTGATGGAGGAGGTGGCTATTGTACTGGAGCTTAAAGGGATACCTGGGAATTGGATGTGATGGTAGGCAGAGAACTCATAAAACCTGTGGTAGCACAAGAAGCAGCATACACAGTGGGTGAAGAACGACCACACATACCTCAAGAATAGTGTCTATCTCGGAGACATGATGGCATGAAGCATCATCTTGAAAGGTCTTGAGTATCCATGTCATACTTGGCACTGAGATGTGGGTCATAGAGTTGGGCAGGTAGGAGGAACATCTTTCTCCATTGGTTACCTTTTCAGATAGCAGTTGAGAGGGTGGGGCTCCAGATGACCTCTTTGTATCAATTTTATTCTTAACAGATCTGCCTTATGGAGTTGGGCATTGCCTAGAGGCCATTTCATGTACAGCACAGAATACTTCTGCTTTTCCAAAGGATATGTGGTCAACAGAAGCTTATTTTATGGGGGAAAAGCTGTGGTTCTAGTGAGTTAGCATTTCACAATTCCAGTCAGACTCAAAGTCATGTGCAGAATCACAGTCCTGCTGAATAGTTGCTGAGTGCCTGCTATAGGCTAGACATTCAGGAACCTGAGCATTCTGCCCCTGCCATTTAATTACATACACCTCATTTAAGCACCTCTAGCTAGATAGTGCCTACCAAATGTGATTTGGATAATTCAAATGAATCTTCCTTCTTAGAAACTCAAAGTATAATCTTTCTTTGACATTCATTAAACACTAAAAAATATCAAGTATATGCCACTGTGTTAGAGTCTGTTTATAAGCATTGAGAGGATAGCAATGAGCCACAACACACAGAGCAAGCATTTTGACCGTGCCGGAGAGTCAGAGAATGACCCAAATGCGAATGTTAGGAGGTGATAAGAGCAAGTGAGAATCATAGAGCATAGAAGGGAGAGGGAGGGTTCTAGGTGTGCATACTGAGTATTTCAATAACGTGAGGCGAGCAAGTATACGGGGAAGGTGACAGTTGATGGGAGGTTTGAAGGAGGCAGGGAAGTAAAGCAAAGGGCAAAGAGAGGTCCACACACCTGGAATAGTCAGTTACAAAGGCCAGAGGGGAAAAAGAACATGCCTGGGGCTTTTGAGAAACACCAAGAAGCTGTTGTGGTTTATCGGAGCCTTAGTGAGAAAGGAGAGAGGAGATAAATGCACATTCAAGACCTAGAACATGACCCTAAATGAAATGGGGTGCCATAGAGACAGAAGACTGAGGTATGACAGAAAGAGAATTTATTTTTATTCATCAGAAGCACTTCCACAGAAAGGGATTCTAGGCATCTATTTTAAATATAAGAACAAAATCCGAATTAGATTTTAAGAGAACTATATTGTCTGCTTTGGTAAACTATAACTTTGAAGATAATGATGACGTTAGGTAGAACAAGAGATTCTAGGAGAGATGATGGGAGTTGGACCAGAAAGGCTACCATTTGAACATAGCATTTGTCACCTTCTGCTACTGGTGGTACCAATTGTCTTGCTAAATTATCAGAGTAGTGCATGGAGAAGAAATTAACATAATCTCACGTGTTCTTATATTTTCATTATGGTTGCTGTACGGTTTTGTTTTTAAGAAATCAAAAAGATGCACACACATGTTGAATGTACACATGTGTATGAGTTGTATGTTTTAAGAATGGCTCTATTGAGCTATAATTTACATGCTGTAAAATTTACCTATTTAAAATGCATAAACCGGTAATGTTTTAGTAAATTAATGTTCATCCAACTATGATTACAGTCCAGTTTTGGAGCATTTCTAATGTCAATGGAAACTTCTCAGGGCTGGGAAGGTGTAACTTGGTTGGTAGCTTGCTTGCCTACTTGCCAGAAGCCCTGGGTTTAATCCTTAGAGCCGCATAAAATGGAGTGTGCTAGTGTGTGCCTGTGATCCCAGCACATGGCAGGCAGAGGCAGGAGGATCAGGAATTAAGGTTATCTTCAGCAGGAGGCTGACTTCCATGCTGCTGCCTTGGACTATATACAACCATGTCTCAACAAAACGAAGCTGAGGGGCGTGGCACTCTCCCCAAATCCCATCACTTGGGAGGCAAAGGCAGGCAGATCTCTGTGAGTTCAATTTCATGCCAACCTTCTCTACATAACAAGTTCCAGGCCTGTTTCAAAAGAGAAAATAAGAGAGAGAGAGAGAGAGAGAGAGAGAGAGAGAGAGAGAGAGAGAGAGAGAGAGAGAAGGAGGGAGGGGGAAGAGATATGCTTTGCTATGCTCTCCTCTCCTCAAATTCAGGAAATTACTGATACAATTTCTGTACTTTTGTTTGATTTTTTTTAACATTTCATCGAAGTGGAACGATTTTAAGTGTGATCTTTTGTATCTAGCTTCTCAATTCAATACAGTGCTTTTTGAAATCTATGCATATTCAAGTTCATTCATTTCTATCAGTGAATAACATTCCATTTTATGGATTTATTACTCTGTTTATCTAGTCACTTTGTCATGGATAGTTAGGCAAGTTTCTAGTTTAGATATTAAGGTTAATAGCATACATACTTTTTTTCTTCTTGTGTAGGTTCTTAGAAAGGTGATTGCCTGCTTGTGTGATACATTTCTCCTGAACATTTTTGTAATTATCAATGGCAATTAAATCAACAATTTAATGTATTTCACTGTGTTATTTCCAAGTACCCATATATTGTTCTTTGATCAAGAATGTTTGAAACTTCTAACTTCTCCCACCTTCCATAACACTTAGTATTATTGAATGACTATCCTAGTAGGTATAAAGAGATATCTCATTACTTATATAACTATCATTTTTCTTTATTATTATTGTTGTTATTTTTTGTTATTTCATACATGTATACAATGAAATACAGTTATACCCTATTGATTTCCAACTCCAATTTCCTCTGTATCTTCCAAAATATCCCCCTCCCAAATTCATGTCTTCTCTTCTTGCTTTTGGTAAACCAGTTTTTGATAAATCCCATTAGTATTGCCTCCATAAGCATGCATATGGTGCCATCCACTGGAACATAGGAAACCTACTGGTGGCTAACCCTCAAAGAAGAATGAGCCTCCCTTCTCCAGCATCTATCAACTGCCAGGAGCTCCCACAGAAAAGCCTGGGGCCCATAGACCACCTACCCTACCTGTACCAAAATGTTGGGTCGTTTGATCTTGTGCAGGCAATCATAGGTAGTGTGAGTTTATAGTATGCTAGCTTTGTTGTGCCCAGAAGCTAGTATCTCATCCTCCAGCTCTTTTATTCTCTGCCTCCTTGCTTCCTATTCTTCTATGTTCCCTGAACTATGGTGGTGGTGGTGGTAGTTGTGATAGTGGTGGTTAGAATATTCCACTTTGGGCTTAGCATACAATATTTTATTTACAGCACTTTGACAAATTACTAGTCTTTGTATTGGCAGCTGTCCAACGCAAAGGGAGGCTTCTCTTACCAAAGTTGAGGACAGGTGTGTGAGTATAAAATATCCTTTCAAAAAAATATTCTTTCCTTATTTTATATATGTGAGTATACTGTCACTCTCTTCAGACACACTAGAAGATGGCACTGGATTTATTAAAGATGGTTGTGAGCCACCATTTGGTTGGTGGGAATTGAACTCAGGACCTCTGGAAAAGCAGTCAGTGCTCTTAACCACTGAGGCATCAGAGAGATGCTGGAGAGCCCCTAAATAAAATTTTAAACTAGCATTATTCTCAAAACCAACCAATGATTTTTTTTTTTTTGGTCAATGCCTTCAAATTCAATTTTACCATTGGATTTTAAAATAGGTTTTTGAAAAAAACAAAACAAATTCTGATAGTCACAAGATATTCTTCTCTTTATTTTTCTTCTAGATCTTTTTGAGGTTTACCCTTTAGCTTTAGGTCTCTGACCCATTCTGAGTTCCTTTTTGGTATACTTGTGTGGTGTGCTACATGAAGTCATAGGTAAACTGCCACCTATTTGGAAAAGACAGGATTTGTCTACTAGGGATTCTGGTAGAATTGCTGGCTATTTACTGTGTACAGAATTCCAATGTATAGACTGATGCTTTGACTGCAACTGGATTGCATCGTAGTATTTTTTCTCATATATTTCCATTTGTCTTGGAACACTTCATTGAAAAGATTTTTATTTGTTTCATTGCACTATCATGTCACCTTTGTTAAAAAAAATCTGAGAGTTTGTTTCTTGACCCTTGATGCTGCACTGCTCTCTATGGGTTTCTTGAAATTTTGAAAATATCGGATCTTTGCATCTCTGAGGAAACAGTTTTATCTTTTACTTTACACTACAAAACTTTTACAGATCTTTTTCTTGTCTGGTTGCAGTTACTACACCCTCAAGTACAATGCTGGATGTTATGGCAAAAGCAGGAATCTTTATCTTATTCCTGAGTTTAAGGAAAAGTCTTGATTCTCTCACCATGTGATATGACTTTATGCCAGCCACAGACTTTTCATAGATAATGTATATCAGGATGAACATGGGTCCTTCAGTTCCTTATTTATACAGTGGTTTTAGCATTATACACATATTTTGCTCGATATGAGAGCACCCCAAGATCCTACAGATTGTATTACTCTTAAAGACTACATATAACCCACTATGTGTGTGTGTATATATATATATGTATATGTGTGTGTGTATGCATGAAATAACAACTGATAAAAAAAGGAGGCCATGAATTTAAAGGAAAGTGGGAAAAGGTATTTGAGAGAAATAGAAGGGAGAACTGTTCTAATTATGTTATGATCTAAAACAAAAGCATGTGTATGGATAACAGGTGTGGCCATATCTCTTTTTACCCACTAGATTAAATATCACAATGAAGAAAAAAAAGTATTCTAAACTTCGACTTTAGGAGAAATTATTCATCAGAAGATAATGCATGGGAATTTTAGACACATAGAAGGAACAGAACCATTACAAGGAAAACAAAGAACTCTAAGGACATTTACAGAAGTGAGCGACAGGTCTAAGCTCATAGCAGCTGCACACGTTTAATCCTGTAATGGTTGTCTCTAACAATAAACTGGAGACATCTAAAACAAATAAATTAGGTTCATAGATAAACTGCCAGCTACTTTCTCAGGATGATTTGTCTATTGGGGATTCAAACTCTTGGAGATTTACAACATTCTCAGACTACAGACTGGTGACATGGCTGTAGCTGGCTCGCGCAATAATTGATGTTTTATGATAATGGACATTCACAGTAGAAATAGGTTTGGGGCTATTATTAGTTTTTACTAGGTTTCTCATAGGAAAATGCCAGAAACTGGGTGGTTTCAATGAGAAAAAAACAAAACAAAACAACAACAATACAAAACAATTTCTCACCATTCTGGATGCTGGAAATCTAAGATCAAGGTGTTGGCAGGTTTGCTTAATTCCAAAGCTGTCTTTTTCAGCTTGATGAAGGCAGTCTTCTTACTGTCTGCACATCATCATGTGTACTCATACCAAGAGTTCCTGAATGCCTGGTTTTCCTGTTTTTTTTTTTTTTAATGGATACTAGTTATATTGGGCTACAGCCCTCTGCTTATGTTCTCCGTGTCAGCATTAGTCCTCAATAAAGTCACATATGGTGGCACCAGGGGATAGGATTTAAACTTACAAATTTGGGAAAGACAAAATGCAGTCTGTAATAGGGGCTCATTGAAAGTAGGCAAAAGAACAAAAAGGGTATAGAAGATGGCAAACGTAACAAAAATTCAACGGTGATCTTGGAGTTTTTAAGGTCTATTCTAGGTGTGTAATCCATGATAACAGGCTAAGACTTCCCAGAAACACACCATCATGATTTGAGAACCAGTCTGTTAGTGTTCCCCTGGACAAACACAAATATATACACAGCACATGGTGGGGACTGGGGCATAGGGATACACCAGCTGTGGAGAAATGGCTATTTGGAGGCGATTTCTTGGATTGTACATTGTTTGATTCCTCAATGGAAATGTGTAAAAAATGTCACTTTTCTATTGTACAGCAGAATTAGGAGACTTCCACGAAGAAACAATTAGGAAGCATCTAGTGCAAACCCAGTACTTACCAAGCCAAGCCTGTTTAGAGAGCAAGATCATGCAGTTTCATCAGCAGCACATGTAAGTACTATCCCTGGCACCTGCTTTCCCAGTGGAGGACACTAAAGTTAGGTCAGATGCTTTTTATAAGTAAGCCTTTAAATCTGAGAAGCTTCAGTCTCAAGAAAACTCAGCTCCTTGTGGGGTTCTCATATATTTGGCTCACTAATCCTTTCCCACTGCAGAGGCCGGAGCCCAGCTGAATCCGACATTCTGCTACTGGACATAGCAAGGAAGCTGGATATGTATGGCATCAGACCACAGCCTGCCAGTGATGGTGAAGGGATGCAGATTCACCTGGCTGTTGCTCACATGGGAGTACTGGTGTTACGGGTAACAATTCTTTCCTTGAGTGCCCTTCAGTGTGCTGGGGGTGGTTAGTGTGACTTCAGCTTGACTATAGGTTCCCCAGATAAAGCTTTGCCTTATCACCAAACAGAAGGGAAGTAAGTGGTAGTTGTAAACACTGTGCATAATAAACCTTCCCGCAACGTGCTTTGCTTCTGTATGCAGTCAGTAATGTTCTGGCTGGATATTGAGGCCATGACACTTTCAATCAGGCCAGCATGGTGAAGTGATAAAGAAGCTCTTAGAGATTGTAGATTCAGATATCCAAAAACTATAGGTTCTAGTGCTTTGCAGATTGCTAAGAGTCACCTTAAGTGCTTCAAACTATGATATGTTCTTCCTCATTAATCTTTACATTGGAAGTGACCAGTGCCAGCTGGTAGGGAATGAATGCTGGATCCTGCGGGCAACTGTTGCTGGTTCCCAGGTCATTGTTTACCCGAGATTTTGTATTTCAAGGTAGAAGTCAACTTGAGGTACCATTGTCTTCTATCATCATCTGCCCCCCACCCCCCAAGTCCTCTCAGCAATTCTGATTTCCCTGGTCTGCTTAAACAAAAACTGTTTAGAGGAACTAGAAACAGATTGGGCTGTCAGGAGAATATTGCAGAGTGCGTTCTATCATTGCTGGTAAGAAGTTTGGTGATGCAGAAAGCATTTGGAGCAGGGGAAGAAGGAGGTGACCACAGAAATGAAGGTACAGATTGAGACTGAAGTTTGGACTAATGAGAAGTAGGAAAGATGTCTATATATTGAACAGCAAAACCCAAGCCAGATTTGATGATATGGCTAGTGGGGAGTGACTGAAGGTGTATTGGTAAATGAAGCAGCAGAATAAACGGGCATTTCCTTTCAGCACTTCCATGTGGAACAGGAAGGAGTAAGATTTTAGAAGCTATTATAACAATCCATTCACTATAGTCTCATTAGACTGGCTTAAAAGCCTCCATGATGCTCCTTCTTGCTTACATTCTGGAGGAACTACAGTGCTTCAGGGCAGCGTCTGTTTACTTTCCCAAGGTCTCTCTGGGTTAGGGAGAGCCTCGGATGATCTTCATGAAGAGTATTTCCCATTTTACCTCTACTGTGGCACAACCTGAATTATGCTTACATGTTCGGAAACTGACTATGTGTTTCCTTATAGGGGAACACAAAGATTAATACTTTCAACTGGGCTAAGATTCGCAAGTTGAGTTTTAAGAGAAAGCATTTTCTTATCAAACTTCATGCTAATATTTTGGTGAGTACGTTTCTAATATGTGGTATTTCTGTTCTCTTAGAATTTTGTAATTGCTCTAGAAATGGTTTGAATACAATGGTGAAAGGTGCCTGGGCCTGGGGGTAGATGGGACCCCTCTTTGTCCTCTATATAAACTGAGGAGACATTGAATGATGCTTTAAATAAAAGCAAATCACTGTGACATCTGATTTGCACTTCAGAATAAATGATATTGTAGGAAAATGAGGTAGGACTGAAAGGCAAGTCTCAGTGGACACAGGTTTTTGTTTTGTTTTGTTTTTGCTTTGCTTGTTTGTTTTTGAGGATTCTGATGAGTCAAATGAGGTCACCAGATCTAAGACTGTGGAAATAATTATTTTATTGCCTCTTTTTTTTTCAAAAGGATCCCCACTCACTTCCCTTAAGTAGAAACTATTGACCATCAACTACATGCTTAGGCTGAGCAGAATGTGAGACATGAGTGTTCATATACTCGAAAATAAGTAATTCTTTGGTGACTTTTCACTGCACAAGATAAGAAAAGGGGTGTTAGAAAGGATGTTTTCATGACTGACCATGAAGGGAAAAAACTACACATATATCAATAATTTGAGCCTATAGAAGATCCCATTTGGATTATATTGCCTGGATCTTAATAGTATGTAAAAGTGTTTATTTGAATCATTCATGGGACCAGATCTAGTTTGAACCTTGTGGGCAGCCTTGGGGGCTATGTGCAAGAACCTGGAAAAGGGTGAGAGAAGAGGGGAGTCAGCTCAGAATGCTGGCAAGGCTGTTGAAAAGTAGGCTGGGAACATGCCAAAGAGCCCTGGGCCAGTGAGGGTATGTGGTGACTCAGGGTGGGGAAAGCTTGTACTTTAGAACTGGAAATCCAAGTTCCCTTAGGACACATTTAAATAGGGACTATGCCAAGAGAGAAAACGAAAGCACTGCAGAATGAGAGAGCATATAGAGGAAGGCAGATTTTTACCTGGGACACTGAAAAGACTTGGGTGCATGCAATCATCCTTACAGAGGAAAGGAAATCTCTCCCGCTCCTATCCTGTTCGTTATTTATAATTTCTTCCTCTCTTGGAAAGAAGCCCTTTGGTAGTCATTTTAGCCTAACTTACAACTTCATAAAAATGCTTCTGGAAGCAAAGAGGCAAGGCAGAAATGCATGTAAGGGGAGGGGAGTGTGTAAAGCATGTCTGGCTTCTTAGACAAGGCTTGCATATGAGTGGAGGCTGTGTTGAGCTTTGGAAGATTGCCAATCATTTGGTTTCAGTGGCTGTGGAACCGATAGGGAGTCAAATGGAAAATCAGATGCTGCTCGGGCTACTGGACTGGCTGTTTATTAGGCATTGAGATCAGAAGGTCTTTGGTTTTCTTGCAGGGTGTTATGCTTAATAAAAAATCATTTTTCCAGGTGTTGTGTAAAGACACTTTGGAGTTCACCATGGCTAGCCGAGATGCATGCAAGGCTTTCTGGAAGACATGTGTGGAGTACCATGCTTTCTTCAGGCTTTCTGAAGAGCCCAAATCTAAGCCCAAAACTCTACTCTGTAGCAAGGGCTCCAGTTTCCGCTACAGGTAATTAATTATACAGCACATGTAGGAAGATGAGGCACACTGCTTCTTTTCAATGACATGGGAAGCAGCAGGAGAAGTCTGAATTCCAGGATCAATAAAGTATCCATTTAAATCACTTGAAATATTATAAAATATCCCTTACTGTTCTCTTTTGGTACATTGCATTAAGTTACTATTTACTAACCAAAGAGTTTGGATCAGAATCATAGTGAGAATGTAGAGTAGCAGAGGGTATTTGAAAAAAAACCTGTATTCAAGAAACTTACTGGTGTCCTTTAAGGCACCTCATACGCAGGTCATGGAAGGAAAGCTCAACAGCCCCCATTAATGGCATTTAGGAGAAAGATAGAGTGAGAAAACACTGGAGGGGACCAAGGGATTAAAATGATGGCACTGGAGGCTTCTCAATACAGCTCATACTTTACAGGAATTGAAGTGAGGTAGAATTAAGAGCTTGTTCCTATTTGAACTAACCTCGAAATCCATTGAAAGGAGCTTACAAAACTCAAGTGGATACAAAAAGAATTCTAATGAAATCGTTCTACTTAAGGGACTTTTCAGACTATGGAAACCTGCCCTTGTAAGAATAGATACTTTTAAAAATCACACACATACTTTTGGTGGAATGTTTCCAAAGTGTACTCTACAAATCCCTGTCTTCTTAACCAGATGCTATTGAGCATATTTTGCTCTTTCCTAATGACCTGAGTTCTTATAAACACCACTATTAACCTTTCCAGGCAGCTGTAGTGGGGAAATGGCCTTAGAGGAGGGAGGCATGGAAGGCCTTGTACTTTGGTTAAATGGCCCAGACTTTGGGGATTTTATTATTATTGTGATTTCTTTTCTGCCTTTTGTGTTTCTCCCAATGGTGAGCTCAAATCCTTTACTTGTATAAGCCTAACTGCAGCAATCTTTCTCTACTGGTTAGTTGGCTGCTTTGAGTTTCCCTTGTGTTGAGAATCCAAATAAACAACCTCATTAGAACTAAAAAGAGTCCATGGTGTTTTATAGGTCTTTTTTAAAAAAAAAAACCTAGAATTTGAATAGTTGAAGTTGTTCTAGTCTTGCTGTCCACATAAGTGGGTTTAGTTAGCAACAATATGATAGAGTGTCACAACACATGACACTCATCCAGATACTTCAGGGTTTCAAACAAGGTGAGGCTTTGAGGTTTTAGGAGCAAATAGAGTTATGATGGAATTAATGATTTTTTTCTCTTCTTTATGATAGTGGAAGAACTCAAAGGCAACTTTTGGAATATGGGAAAAAGGGGAGATTAAAGAGCCTGCCATTTGAAAGGTGCATACTTTTCCTCCTCTCTTTTCATCCTGATTGGAAGTTGTATTTAGAGATTTCCATGCATTCCATAATTTGCATAATGAACATTTTAATGACTTCTCTGTTTTGGGGATTTCAGGAAACAGTACCCATCTCAATATCATGAACGGCAGTGCAGATCATCACCAGACATTCTCTCTGATGTGTCAAAACAAGTAAGGTTTCTGAAAAGCCCGACTTCTTTAGATAAGTATAAGTCATCCAGTTTTCAAATGATGTTCCAAGACTTGATTTTGCCAGAACCTCCCAGTGTGTCTCAAGGTCACTCCCTGTGAGGTTAGCCTCTGGGAGAGGCCTTTTGGCACAGTTGTTCCCACTAATAGACCATTTAGTAAACTACAACCCCTGGTGTACCTCCAAATTTCAATCTGTACTATTAACATCCTGAAAAAAATCAGATACCAATACATTTCTTTGGCTTCATTAGTAGAAACACTAAGGCTTCAGAAAAGCTGTGTGGTATAGTTGCTTATTTGTGTAACATGATTTCAGGATACTCTCGTGCCCCCAGTACTGTAAGATGATGGCCACATTTGAGACTTTGATCCAGAAACTTGCTGACCACTTTTCTTTGGCACTCTCTGCAAAAGTTAACTGTAGGTGTCATCAATTCCCATGCCTTCACTCAAATCGGATGGTTTTTAATCCAAAAGGCATCAGAGGTAAACCAACGAAAGGGACCATCTAGATTATGAAGCTCTGAGCCCATTAACAGTTCTCCTTTCCACTCTTTTTAATAGGAAACATCGAGGAGGCAGAGTAGGAACATTAGACTGTGGTCCCCAAGGTCCACACAGCCAGTCCAAAGAAGACAGAGGCAGGGTTCCTACTTCATTGATACAGCTACCAAACTGAACTGCTTGAAATACAGTGGTACCTGAAGGGCACATAAAATATGGAGTGTAGAGTGGAATGTCATCGAGAATGAAGAATGCAGCATATACTTTCTAGCACACAATTTGGGATATAAGTCACATTACCCTTTCAATACACCTATTTATTAGCTGTGGAGTAGACTATGGATTTGAATCACCTTCTGGAATAAGCCTTTCATAATAGGAGATTACCTTTCTGATCCTCCCCATGTCCAGCTAAATAGCATTTTTCATCTGACATCAATGTGTTTTCTTTTTCAAGGTGGAAGATCTGAGACTTACATATGGCAGCAGTTACTACCGAAATGTGAATGGAGTACATGCATCTGAGCCTGTGCTGGACAATAGGAGGAGGAACTCTGCGGTTGAAGTGACATTTGCAGCCGAGCTGGAGCATTCCAAACCAGAGGCAGAGGCCACATCGCTCCATCCATCCCAAAGCAGTTCCTCTTTCACCTTTATTTATGCAGATCCTGTCTTTAACACTGACCCTGAGCCCATAGATTTCTTTGAGGAACGGAGTCCTCTAAGCTCCTTCCAAACAAACTCCAAGTTTGCGGATGGTCACACAAGCAAAGTGAGTCCAGCAAGGCAGCTAACATATACCGATGTGCCCTATATTCCTTGTACTAGTCAGAAGGTTGATATTATGCCTCCCCAAGTCTTTTTCTATGTGGACAAGCCACCCCAGGTACCCAGGCGGTCTCTGATCATGGCAGAGGAAAGTATGAGACCAGACAGCTATGTAGATCCCAGTGCAATAAAGCCAGCCAAAAGGAGCCCAAGGAATATGAGAATAAAAAGCTTACAGCAAGACCTTCAAGAACTCCAAGAAGCTATGGCTAGAACTAGTGCTAGAAGCACTATCAATGTAGAGCCAGAGGAGGAAGATCCACATTTAGATGATGCATTTGCATATAACCTTCAAGAGCAAACTCCTAAACGATCTCAAAGCCAATCAGACATGAAAACTATCCGTTTTCCTTTTGGGTCAGAATTTAGACCTTTAGGGCCATGTCCTGCTCTGACTCGTAAAACTGATCAGTTTACATGTATGTTTGCAGAGCAGGAGTTTCCAACAGTTCTAATGGATCAGAGCTCAGCAGAAAGGTATGTAGTTAGTGAGTCCAGTGATTCAGAATCAGAGATTCTTAAAACAGACTACTACTCTTTGTACGGCAAAGGAAAAAAGTCACCCAGGGCCCGAATCCGCTTGTCTTCTGGTAGTCTGCAGTTAGAAGAAGATGAAACTATTTCTTTTGCCACACCAGGTGCTGAAGATAGGACTTTGCTAAAGCCATGCAATTATTTCTTAGCTTAAAAGAGTGATTCTGTGAATGTTCCTTATCCAGTTCTATGTTACCACCTTAGGTAAGACATAAGAAGCCTTTTTGACCCATCTTTTCCTTAGTCATCTTAATTGATGGTAAGATGGTGTGAAGGATCAAGCTGCTGTCTCTTTCTATGAGCTTCTTTCTTTTATATACTCCAAAAAGACTCAGGAACATGCCTTCTTCTCCCCAGTAGTATGGTAGTGCAAGGGTAGTGTATGTCATACCATCCTACATTTCCTTGAGCAGCCATTATTAGTGAGGATGCATTCTTCAATGGTGAAGGATGATGATGTGGGTTGGTGCATGGGACTGGCTTCTAAAACCACATTGTGATTTAGTAGTCCATGATTATGTTGGTTATTTTTGTGATTAGGTAACCCTAAACAATTGTTTCTCCCTTCATGACTTGTTTGGGACACAGTGAACAGTCTTGTTACATATGAAGAATGTCAATTTTTATAACATATACATAGGTGAGTGGCATAGGTCCGCTCAGCACAACATGTTTAGACGCAATAGAGGATTTAACAGCTTTCTCAATGCAGGAAATTCATGGATTAGGCCCATTTTTTTCAAGCAAACGGTATGCCTGATGAGGATATTATGGTGTTTGACTTCTAATTTCTCTTAATTACTTATTACATAAGGTGTGATCAATGTTAACAGGCCAGCTTGTTTGTCAATTTCTCCTGCCAGAATTTATTTTTGCCATAACTTTGTTGCATGCATGTAGGCAAGGATATGAGGTGTTATTTTAATAAAGAGTTATAAGTATGGCCTTCTTTGGTTCTGGCCTATATCTAACAAGACAGAGAATTGAAAAAGGACATATTCAAGGGAAAAAAGGTATGGCCAGGGGTGGAGAAGTGGAAATAGGTGTGGCTGGTATGAAAAGTGGCTGCAGCATCAGGCTCAGACAGAGATCCAAAATTCTCTTGTGTGGTTGTTGGTTTTGATTTTTTTTTTTAACCAGGAGCCAAGGCTAGGCTCCAACTTGTGATCTCTTGCCTCAGTCACCTGTGTGCTGGAGGTTCCAGTGATGGACCATAGTGTTAAACTCAATTTGAGTCCTTTAAAAAATGTTATGTGCACGAATATTTAACTGAATGCATGTATAGACACCATGTGCATACCTGCTGCCCATAAGTCAGAAGATGGGATGGGATTCCCTTGGAATGGGAGTTAACAGACAGTTGTGAACTGCCATGTTGATGTTGGGAATCCAACCTAGGTCTTCTGCTGATGTGGCCAGTGGTCTTAAGCACTGAACAATCACTTGACCACTAAATATTCCATTCTTGACTCATTAAATATTTGTCTATCAGTCCTCCTGGAAGGCTACTGAAGAACCTTGTTGATAATCTTAAGCTAATGTATTTTCAAGATCATGTTAAGTCCAAATGGTCAAAGGAGTGAATTGGTTACATAAACAAGCAATTTTATGTGTGATTTGATATGAAAAGGTAGATTATACAATTCTGTTGTCTCTACATCAGTTAAAAAAAACCTATTAATATGCCTTATTCCACTCCCTTTTTTCTCTCCTGGACACAAATTGACTAAGACACAAGTATAGAGTAGTTACTTAAGACTAAGAATATACTGAAACTTGACTACTTACACATAATTTCTATAGATTCTTACTTTCTTTAAAAAAAAATGTTACCTGTAATCTTTTCCCCAGGAGAAACTCAAAATGTTGTGAGCTATATGCTATTTCTCATCCCATCTTCATTTGAAAACTTTTGCTAAATGTATATTTTCCTTAAGACGTATAATGTTCAAATCTGTATGTGATCTTTTATTAAAATAGTAATTAGGGGACTCGTTAAATTATCTGTCAGAAGACATTTTTAAAGTACTATTAATAGTTTTGTTAAGGTAGGAGGAAGAAATCAGGATATATGTATTCAGCTATAAGTAGAGCCAATTCTTAGTAACTTTTAGTTTCAATGGAAGCCTTTGTTATGTTCCAATAATAAAGAAAGAACTAATTTAAATTATCTAGAATAATATATGAGACCCACCCTCAAGAAGACAAACATTGAGGATCATAAAATTTAAATATTTATTTTAAAATCCGGCAAACAGTGACATATGCTTCACCTAGAAATAGGTCTACAGAACTAACGCTATAATGAGTAAGAGATACCAGTTGTATTTTGGATGCAGTTATGTGGTACAGTTTTCCATAATACGAACTTGTTTTTATTTTCACAAAAATATGAATGTCACCCATTGTTCAAGTCACACAATTATTTGGAGAGCACTATGAAGAACAAACTGTAATTGAGTTTCAGTTACAACATGGATGTAAAAACCAAATCATTACTTCAAGGTACAGTCAACTCAAAGCAACAATTACAGTGTAGGCACCAATGAACACACGACATGATGATGTTCCACCTTTCAAATATTTATATTTCTTTTTTAAAAGAAGGGTTGTAATTGACACTTCAGTTAAAAACTGCATCTTTCTTTTTCACATTTGGCAGTTACTCAGACATTTTAAAATGTTTTGTGCTAAAATGAAATGTGAAGATACAAACATTAAAATCTTAACTGTTGAAATTAATCAGTACCAACAATTCTACAGCTACAAAACTATAGCCTAGTTCAGCACTTGGGCAAACATAGTATATATATATTGGGCTAAAAAGGCTATTACTCACTTAACAGTACCATAAATAGAACTTAAAATTAACTGCACAGTCTATCTTACTTTTATATGATCCTGCCCTATGGTATTTTCATATGAGCTGGACAATGTTCATTTAAATACCCTTTCAGAATTGAACACACTATACTTATGTGTGGATAATTATAAAGAAAAATGTATAAATAGTTTCTACGAAAATGCATTATCACGACAAAAAATGCTGGTATAAAGTTATGTTCATACCTATTGATCAGGTATTTAATCACAAGACAAAAAGGTTGTTAAAAGTTTTCTAAATCCAAGCATGTAATATGTGATTTGAGCTGAATATTTAAAGACTGAAGCCAGACTAACTCCACCATTCTAACCAAACCCCGATTCTTGGCCAAATGAGTTTACTTTAAATGTCTAACCATGTTAAATAAGGGTTAATTGCTTCTTCCATCTGAAAGAGAGGATAAATACACCGAGAGGTACTTCTGCTGCTACATGTTGCATGGAAATGCTTCAAACACAGGGTTCTCCAAGGTGCTAGACATGGAGCTGCCTGAATTCAGAACAACTTTCTAGGAAAGTCAATACTTTCATAGGTGTTCTTTCCATGAGCTTCTTAAAAACACTTGTTTTAAGGCGGTATTACTTATTTCTACCTCACTACAAATAGTCCTTTTTAGAATATACTTGTGTGGGGAAAAAAGAATGCTTTTAGAAGCTTGGTGATTTGCAAACATTTGATAATTAGGATGAGTTTGAAAGACCTGTATGTTTATGAGTGTACAGTTAACTAAAGATTCCAAACCAAACAGTATTCATTCGAAGAACATAAGAAATAATGATACCTAAAATCAAAAAAAAAAACTGTATCTCAACATTTACTACAATACAGGCAAAACTATAGTATTAAAATTATTCCTTACAAAATAATCTCTTTAAAATACAAAATGATAGCCACCATCACAAAATAGTTGAATAGCTTCCTCTAAATCTTCAATGTGGCAAAGATCCAAAAGGCACATGGAGCTCATGAGTTAAGCATTATTAAGGTTGACATAGCTTTGGTGGGTTTCTCCTGGTCCACATGAAACAGAAGCCAAAAAGAATGACGACCAATCTCTTAAGGGGATTCATCTGCAGAACACCTATAAAATATGACAAGTATAACTCATATATACAAGTATAACTCAATGTATAATTATAAAAGTCATCTATATTTCCTAATCATGTACCATTCAATGAATGAAGAGGCCAAATTATTTCCATTGAATCTTACATAGATAGATGTGTTAAAAGATGTAAAAGAACGAACAAAAATTCCTTTGTGTCTGATTTCACAACTTGCAATGGATTTGTTTGCAAATAAGAAAAGAACTAGGGGATTTTAAGCATGGTTTAGCTCCAGAGTCCTGAGCAGGCTTTACTGGATGGAAAGATAATTAAGAGGGATTTTATAGGTCACGTATTTAGTTTCACCTTGAGCTTAGTTAGCCAAGGAAATCAAAAGATGGAACAAGAAGAGATATAATGGGTTTAAGGTTAAATTCTGTACAACCATGTTCGAACTCGCTTAAGCTAATGACTATGAATGCATACATACAAAAGTGCTGTTTAAGAAAAGAAATTTCAAATCAAATGTAAGAACTTTGTGAGGCAAATCAAAGTAATAGGAGGCAAGACAGAAACTAATTGCAATCAAATGGCTCTATTATTGTCTCGACTGTTTTCTCTAGATCTTTTAATCGGCATTTCAGAAGGGTTCAAATGTAGAAACTTTGCTACTGGCAATGATCAGAATAATGGTATTTCTGCAAAGGCTAAGAGTACTGTCGAGAGTGGAAACGTGTGTAATGTTACATGTGCCCAAATAAGAACATACTCAGTGACATTTTCTCTCTTTTCACCATAACAGGGAAAGACAGGGCAAAACCTGGACTGTTTGGTTCAGTAGAAAACTACCTTCCCATATAAAGCTAATACTGGAGTGGTGAGGTGGCTCAGTGGACAAAGTCCTTTAAGTAGAAGCACAAAGGGCCTGAATTCAGATCTCTAGCACCCATGTTCTGGTCAGGTGTGACTGAGCCCCCATAACTTCAGCACTGGATGGCAGAGAAGAATGTCCTGGGGGATCACTAAACAGGGCAGGCTCCAAGTTCAATGAGAGGCCCTGCCTCAAAAATTAAGGTAGAGAGAAATAGAGGAACAATCTGAATGTTGACGTCTTTTTTACCCCATGTGGAAGACAATTCACTCATATATATATAACACAGTCTCTCTCTCTCTCTCTCTCTCTCTCTCTCTCTCTCTCTCTGTCAAAGCAGATGTTTAAATTTG